TAGCAGATTAAGTGAAGCTAATTTAAAAATCCAATTGGATAAAAGCGAGTTTCTTAAGAAAGAAGCCGAATTCTTAGGGCATATTGTAACCTCAGAGGGAATCAGGCCAAATCCAAATAAAATCGAAGCTATTTTAAAATATCCACTACCGAAAAATGAAAAAGAAATTAAACAATTCTTGGGACTAGCAGGGTTCTATAGAAAATTTATAAAAGATTTTTCTAAGATAACAAAACCCCTAACTCATTGCTTAAAAAAAAGCAACAAAGTCAATATAACTGATAGGGAATATAACAAAGCGTTTGATACAATCAAAATCTTAATAACAAAAGACCCTGTTTTGGTCTACCCAGATTATAAAAAAGATTTTACACTTACAACAGATGCTTCAAATACTGCACTGGGTGCAGTTTTAAGTCAACAAGGTCGGCCAGTTTGCTTTGCTAGTCGCACCCTGAATGAGCATGAATCACACTATTCTACCACAGAAAAAGAACTGCTCGCTGTTGTTTGGGCCACAAAGTACTTTCGTCCATACCTCTTTGGCAGGAAGTTTGTTGTAAATAGTGATCATCGCCCACTTCAGTGGCTTCACAACTTAAAAGAACCCAACTCTAAACTGCAAAGGTGGAAATGGAAACTAAATGAATATGGTTTCACTGTGAAGTATATTCCAGGGAGAGAAAATCATGTGGCAGATTCTCTGTCACGTATTCAAATTGAAGAATCTAATTTTGATGAAATTCCATCTGATATTGCCACCATTCATTCTACATCAGATAGTCAAAACTTTATCCCAATTGCGGAAAGACCACTCAATGTCTTTAAAAGACAGTTGAGATTAATAAGATCTAATGAAAATAGTACACATGTAGAGCATATATTCAAAAATTGTGTTACCACAATTAAATATATAGAATTAAATACTGAACAAACAAAAGACATTATAAAGTCATTTTAACTAACTAATACCATGGCTATTTTTATGCCAAATAATGAAGACTTTTTAAGATTTCAAAATATTTTCAAAACCTTGGTTTGCAATAGACGTCATAAGATTCTGAGAGCAAGTAAGGAACTGGAAAATATCCCTAATTACACCGACTTTAAAACTAAAATTCTTGAAATCCACTTAGAAGGACTTCATCAAGGAATTGAAAAAATTATATATCAATTCAAGAAAAGATATTATTTTCCTAACTATTTTAAAAAAATTACTAAAATCATCAATGAATGTGATTTGTGCAATCGATGCAAATATGACCACGTTGCAAACAAAATGCCATTTAAAATCACTCCTCCAGTTTACGAAATTAGAGAAAAATATGTGATAGATTTCTGGGAATGGGAAAAAAAACATTTTCTAACATGTATA